GCGCCTGGGGCAGCTTTGCTGTCCCACCCAGGGCCCGGTTTGCATTATGCAAAACCCCACCCTGGCCGGCTGGAGAGGGCGAGCCGAAACCCCTGGATTTAGCCGCAGGGCCGCCACGCAGGAAATCCACCTGGGATTTCTTTTTCTTCCTGCAGAAAAAAGAAAAAAAAAAGAATCCAGGATTGGCGTTTTAAACAAATTCGGTCTATTTGCATAAGCTGGGTTTGCATACATTTGACTTCTGGCTGATGGTTAAACCGTGACGATTAACTAACACTTTGAATGGCTGGATACTAACTAACGAGGCGCAAGTCTCGGGCGTACTGATGAGACACACTAAGTTCTGTAACTCTCCGGAGACACTGACTGATCTTACTACTGGAAGATCCTCCCCTCCAGTGGAGGATGCCAGTGGAGGATGCCAGTGGAGGATCTCCAGTGGAGAGAGAGAGGAGTTCAAAGCCAACCTGGATAACAGAGCAAGAGACCACCTCAAACAAACGGACAGATGGAAAAGAAAAAAGCCCCGAGCGCCCTGATAGTAACCCTGACCTTCAGTCTCCCCTCTCCTCCCAGAAAAACGTCAGGCCTCCCTTCTCTAACCAGAGCAAGGACGGAAACCACAGCCGTCCAGAGGAGGGGTCTCAGGGGGCCACCTGGTTTGCATCCATGCCCTGGCCCTGCCCAGTTCCTGAGAGAGACCACAGCCCTGAAGGCCAACCGCCTTTCTACAAGGGACTCCAGTCCCACCCCTTCCAGGGGCATGAAGTTATGGAGCATCTGGGCAGTTGTCACTCATTGTATTTAAGCAGCCTGCCTCCTCAGAGGTGTGCTCAGCCATGCTAGGCACAGGGGCATCTGGCCAGCATGTTTGTCTGGGCAGCTTACCTGCTCAGTCTGCAGCTCCCCATTGCTTTCTGCTGGGCTTACAGCTGCCACAAGACAGAGTCCTCTCCTGGCTTCAGCCTCCCAGGGGATTACCTCCTTGGGGGCCTCTTTGCTCTCCATTCAGACTGCCTGCAGGTGAGACACAGACCCCAAGTGACACGGTGTGACAGGTGAGTAGGGACCAGCAGAGCTGTTGCTTAGTGGGATGGGGATGTAGTTCAGTCAGTTTGGAGCTTGCCTAGAGTACACGAGGCCCTGGGTTTAATCTCCAGCACCACACCAGCTGAATTTGGTGGTTGCTGCATGTGCTTTACTGGGGAGGTGAAGGCACAAAAATTGGAAGTTCAAGGTCACCCTCAGCTACAGAGTGAGTTTGAGGCCAGCCTAGGCTAGAAAACCTGTCAGAGAGAGAGGGGAGGGGCAAAAGAAGAGAGGGGACACACACACACACACACACCCACACACACACCCACACACACACACACACAGAGAAAAAGAGAGAGAGAGAGAGAGAGAGAGACTCATTTGTTTGGTGGAACACAAGGGCTCCTCTGCTTACCTCTGGGCTGCCTGTTGAGTTCTGGCCCAACCCTTCCCCACTAATGTATAAGGACTGAAGTCAAGCTGGTAGCTGAACAAGTCCATCGGTTTCTACTTTAGGATGCTACTTATTTATATCACAACATGTTATATTGTTTTTTCTTCTGTATATTATTATTTGTATTCCAATATGTTCTCTTGGTTTTGCTGGTAGAGTGAGTTGTAACTCTGTTCAACTCTCCTGGCTTTTCTGTGGCTGGCAAGTGGAGTTCCCCATGGGTCTCCTTTTAAAGATGGCCACTCACAGTCCATGAAAGTCTCATGTCGGGAAGGGAGGTCCAGAGGGATCTCACAACAGGCTGTGAGAAACTTGGCACATGATGACTGCCTGACTTGGCCAGGAAGTCAGGTTCTAGAAGCCCTGGCCTGTGAGGACTAGGCCAAAGAGCTGCAGATAGGAGGCTGGGGAGAGGAAACTTGGGCTTAGAAGACAGGTTTTGGGAAGGACAAAAGAAAATTGGCTTTTAATCCCAGCACTGTGGAGGCAGAGGCAGGTGGATCTCTGTGAGTTTGAGTTTGAGCTAGTTCTGTCTTGGAAGAAAGAAAAAGAGAGAGGGAGGGAGGAAGGAAAGAGGAAGGAAGGAAGGAAACTAGTTTTGTAAAACCGAAGGACTCTGTGTTGAAGAAAGAAGTACTGAGTCTCTCAATATATTTGGGGGACAGGAGTGAGAGAAGCAATGGGGGAATCTTGTAGAAGGCAGAGGGTTGGAGAGTGGGACATGCAGCAGGGTTGAGTCATGTCCTCAGCGTCATGTCCCTGTTGAGAGCAGCTACCAAAAGAGAAGACAATCAGCCTAGGTTGAACCTGGTGAGGCAGATATAATGTAACATTACATTCAGTTTGTCCAAGAGATGGTGCTTAGGATTGTTGGCTCAAACATAATCTAGATGGGACTGTAAGTATGTTTCTGCTGGGATAACATTTAAACTGATAGGTGTGACTGTAAGTATGTTTCTGCTGGGATAACATTTAAACTGACAGGCTGAACAAAATAGGTTGTCCGTCAACAGTAAGTGGGCCTCACACATCCATTTAAAGCCCCAGAGGGAAGACTGAGATCCTGGAAATCAGAGATTCTGCCCTCAGAATCGGGACTACAGTCTCCATCTGCCCTCAGAGTCAGCTGACTGGCTAGGCTGTTGGCTAGCTCTACAAGTTTTGAACTGAATAACTCCCACAGTAATGTGAGCCAGTTCCTTAATGTAAACCTCCTGTGTACGTGCATGCTTGTGTGCGTGTGAGTGTGTGTATGTGCATATATGTTAACCCTGTTTCTTTAAGGCATGGCTTTTTCTTTCTTTTTTTTTTTTTTTTTTTTTTTTTTTTTTTTTTTTTTCTTTTTTTTTTTTTTGTTTGTTTTTTCGAGACAGGGTTTCTCTGTGACTTTGGAGGCTGTCCTGGAACTAACTCTAGACCAGGCTGGTCTCTAACTACAGAGATACACCAGCCTCTGCCTCCCGAGTGCTGGGATTAAAGGAAAGGTGTGCACCACCAATGCCTGACTTGTTTTGTTTTTCAAGACAGGGTTTCTCTGTATAACAGTCCTGGAACTTGCTTTGTAGACCAGGTTATTCTCAAACTCACTAAGATCTACCTGCCTCTGCTTCCCAAATACTGGGATTAAAGGCGTGCGTCACCACCCCGCCCCCAACAACAAACACACTGGCCACCTCCTAAGAAATTTTAATATGACTTCAGGTATACAAAATAGGTATATATTTGGACATGGTAGCACATGCCTTTAATCCCAGCACTCAGGTGGTGGATTCTGTTAGTCTGAGACCAGCTTGATGTATAGAGCAACAAGTTCTAAGACAGCCAGAGCTACCACACAGAGATAGATACCCTACCTCAAAAAAAAAAAAAAAAAAAAGGAAGGAAGAAGGAAAGATAGAAGACAGACTCTAATAGTAATGAAATGAATGTATTTATTTTTCATAATTTATTTAACTTTATTTCATGTGCATTGAAGGTGTCATATGAAGGTGTCAGATCCCCTGGAACCAGAGTTACAATTTTAAACTGCCATGTGGCTACTGGGATTTGAACCTGGGACCTCTGGAAGAGTAGCCAGTGCTCTTAAGTGCTGAGTCATTTCTCCAGCCCTTATTTATTTTTACATAAAGAAATCTCAGCTGAATGTGTGGCACTTCTGTACCCAGAATGTTTTTTTTTTTTTTTTTTTTTTTAAATTTTCATTGTAGAGAACACTACTTCAAATATATAGTATAAATAGTAAAAGTATGCTCAGGGCCATTTCTGAAATTACTGGAAATTCTATTCTAACGCCAAGCCAAAAAACATTGAACAATTTATTAGAAAAACTAATGCAAGTGTTTAGGTAATCAAGGATCCCTACACAGTCCAATGTAAAAAGACACTGATCTGATGCTTCCCTCGGAACAGAAGCCAAGGATGAAAGGTATTAGCCCTTCATGTTCCCGTGAGAGCAGAAAACTTCGTACGTACAATAAAGACACTGCACTGCGTAATGTGTGTTAGTCTCAATTCAGAGAACCTGGGCCGAGGTGTTTCAGGCTGGTGTTGGCGTAGACAGACAATCTCAGTGTTCCTTTTTGCTCTCAAAGCCGGGGATGCAGGAGGTGAGGGTCTGGTGTGTGGTGGTGGTGGTGGGAGCTTCAACCGTCTCAGTTCTCCCTGGTCTTTCCCTGCAGACCCAACAGCTTCAATGGCCATGGCTACCACCTTTTCCAGGCCATGCGTTTCAGCATTGAGGAGATAAACAACTCCACAGCCTTGCTTCCCAACATCTCCCTGGGGTATGAGCTGTTCGATGTGTGCTCAGAGTCTGCCAATGTGTATGCCACACTGAGGGTGCTCGCCCAGCGGGGGACGGGCCACCTAGAGATGCAGAGAGATCTTCACAACTATTCCTCCAAGGTGGTGGCACTTATCGGGCCTGACAACACTGACCATGCTGTCACCACTGCTTCCCTGCTGGGCCCCTTCCTGATGCCCATGGTAAGCCTAGCCTCAGGGATCCCATCTACAAGTCTAGGGTGGGGGGCGGTGGGAGGCTAGGCTGGGCAGTCCCTGCTCTCTAGTCAGGGTGCCAGCGTCCTGCCCGCCATGGCTGCTGTCCAGTCTTCTACCTGCGTCTTCCCCCAGCTGCTTCCAGCCTCCATGCTTCACCCGTCATGGAGAAACCCTATCCTTTTGATTTTTGCTTGTGTGTTTGTTTGTTTGGTTGACTGATTGGTTTGACATCAGGTCTCACTCTGTAGCACTGGAACTAGACCTGTAGACCAGGCTGGCCTTGAACTCAGAGATCCCGCCTGCCTCTGCCTCTTGAGTCCTGGGATCAAAGGCATGTACCACCACCACCTGGCTCATCTTTTCTCTTTTGGCTTTTTGAGACAGGGTCTCTTGTAGTCCAAGTTGACCCTGTAGTTGTGTTAGAGTCTAGGGTAGCTTTGAACTCCTGACCCTCCTGGTGGCACCTGGTTAAATCTTTCACCTTTTTCAGAGTACCCGCTCCCGAAGCCCCCAACCCCCACACACAGGTGCTTTTTTCGGCCCCTGCTCTAGTCCTGTCCAGCATTTCCATTTGAATTAGAGATATCCTCTTCAAACTTGAGTCAGAACATGTCACTCTTCACAGTGTGCAGGACACAAGTGAGCCCCTCAGCTTGAGAGTTCAGGTCTCCTGCCCTGTCCTACTCATGGGGTCAGGAAAGGATTTGTTCCATGTTTAAATGACATGTCTTTTTCGCTTGGTCACTAGGCAGATCCTCACACCTCCTGGAACTCCCTGGAGGAACCTCCCCTCTGGGCCTGCACCCGCCCCAGTCTGGGTGGGGACTGTGGGGGCGGGGCTTCGGCCAAGGCTGGTGTTGCTGATCTCACTGAGTGGAATCCCTCCCCTCCGCACAGATCAGCTATGAGGCCAGCAGTGTGGCGCTGAGCACCAAGCGGCAGTACCCATCTTTTCTTCGCACCATCCCCAGTGACAAGCACCAGGTGGAGGCCATGGTGCTGCTGCTTCGGAGTTTCGGGTGGGTCTGGATCTCACTCATCGGCAGCTATGGTGATTATGGGCAGCTGGGCGTGCAAGCACTGGAAGAATTGGCCGCGCCACAGGGCATCTGCATTGCCTTCAAGGACATCGTTCCTTTTTCTGCCCAAGTGGGTGACCCGAAAATGCAGCAAATGGTTCACCGCTTGGCTCAAGCCAGGACCACCGTGATTGTGGTTTTCTCTAACCGGTACCTGGCCAGAGTGTTCTTCATGTCTGTGGTGCTGGCCAACCTGACTGGCAAGGTGTGGATCGCCTCGGAGGACTGGGCCATCTCCACGTACATCACCAAAGTGCCGGGGATCCAGGGCATTGGGACAGTGCTGGGGGTGGCCATCCAGCGAAGACGTGTCCCTGGCTTGAAGGAGTTTGAAGAGTCTTATATTAGGGAGGTAAAGGGTTCCCCCAGGTCTTGCCCAGAGGGATCCTGGTGCAGTACTAACCAGCTGTGCCGAGAGTGCCACACTTTCACGACACAAAGCATGCCCTGGCTTGGAGCCTTCTCCATGAGTGCTGCCTACAATGTGTACCAGGCCGTGTACGCTGTGGCCCATGGCCTCCACCAGCTCCTGGGATGTACCTCTGAGACCTGTTCCAGGGGCCCAGTCTACCCCTGGCAGGTAAGATAATGCAGCCAGGGCTTCTGCATCCAGGAGATCAGCCAACCCTGGCAGTGTGAGTCCACCGACTAATTGAGGAGCCAGTGAATACAGGTCTTCTCTTGGATAAATGGTCCTCCTCTTTGAGCCTTGTCTTCTCCTACCCACCATGCCCCCAAAGATATCAAAGGCCAAAAATGTCTGCAAAAGAGTTCTTTATTAGAGTTCTCTCAGGAAGCTGATCAGGAGTCAAGGGGATTCCTAGGAGGAGTGGGAACAGATTGCAGAAGAAGGAACCAGGCCTTATAGGTGGGAGGGAACACAGAGCCTCTGCTTGCTTCCAGGGCTGCCTGGGTCTGTGTGGTCTCTGGTGGCTTCATGACATCTGTCTGTTGCAGCTTCTGCAGCAGATCTACAAGGTGAATTTCCTTCTGCAGAAGGATACAGTGGCGTTTGATGACAATGGGGACCCTCTAGGTGGCTATAACATCATCTCCTGGGACTGGAATGGGCCTGAATGGACTTTTGAGGTCATTGGCTCTGCTTCAGTGTCTCCAGTTCAGCTAGACATAAATAAGACGAAAATCCAGTGGCATGGAAAGAACAACCAGGTAATGGGGACATGGTCATTACCAAAGACGGCTCTATATTCCCAGCGGCCATGTCCAGGGCCCTGCTCTGAGCATGAACCTGGAGGGCAGAGGTGCAGAGATCTCTTTCCTGTGGGTCGTGTGAGCTGTCCCTTGACTGGGGCTCCTCTGTGTGATTGTGAACCACTGTGACTTCTTACAGGTGCCTACATCTGTGTGTACCACAGACTGTCTTGAAGGGCACCACAGAGTGGTTGTGGGCTCCCACCATTGTTGCTTCGAGTGCATTCCCTGTGAGGCTGGGACCTTTCTCAACAAGAGTGGTGAGTGAGGGGGCTGAAGAGATGGCTCAGAGGTTAAGAGCACTGCTTGCTCTAGCAGAGGTCCTGAGTTCAATTTCCAGTGACCACATGGTGGGTCACAAGCATCTATAATGAGGCCTGGTGCCCTCTTCTGGCCTGCAGGCAGAACACTGTATACATAATAAATAAAAATAAATCTTAAAAAAGAGTGGTGAGTGAACACTGAGTGGGTGAGTGACCCAGTACCCAGTGATGGGGGATGTCCTTCTGTATATGTGTTTCTCTTATTGTTTGATGAATAAGACACTGATTGGCTGGTAGCCAGTAGGCAGGGCTATGAGTTGGAGGAGAATTCTTGGGAGAGGAGGCAGTGAGAAGTCGAGAGGAGACGCCATGTAGCAGAGGAAGGAGTAACAGGTCTGGACCCTTCTCCAGTAAGATAAGACCATGTCCAAATACTTAGATTAATAGAAATGGGTTAATAGGGGCTGGAGAGATGGCTCAGGGGTTAAGATCACCGACTGTTCTTCCAGAGGTCCTGAGTTCAATTCCCAGCAACCACATGGTGGCTCACAACCATTCCTTATGAATCAGAAGGTGCCCCCTTCTGATGTGCAGATATACATGGAAGCAGAATGTTGTATACATAATAAATAAAATCTTTTTTTAAAAAAAAAGAAATGGGTTAAGAATTGAGAATGTAAGGCAATAAAAAGCCTAAGCCATCAGCCAAACAGTTTATAATTAGTAGAAGCCTCTGTGTGTTTATTTGGGGCCAAATGGCAGCAGCCCAGTGGGACAGAAATTTGTCTACACACCAGGGCTCCAGTTCGCTCCTGCCAGTCAGACATAGGTTGGAGGACCCTTGCCAGGAGGCTGAATTCTGATTGCTCACCTGTAACCACCTGGAAGTGTTAGACCTAGGTGTGTCCTCTGTCAGAGCACCCCCCCACCCCCAGCTTCCACAGATGAATCTTGTCCTAAATGCAACGTCTTTATCCAAAGACATTTGGCTCTTTTGTGCTGTTCTGTTTGTATGAAGTCCCTGAATTGACGTTTGGTTTAACGGTAGATGCTGGCATATCTGCCAAGGAAGGTGGCCAGTGCACTCCATCTGGTGACTCAAAGAAAGCACAGCAGGAGCTATGGACTCAGCTTGGAGCTCAGACACCAGGGAGACACACTGTTCCCTTTTAATATCTCAGTGGTGACGGGAGAGTCAGGACTCAGGCCTCTTGGAGTAGATGCCCAGAGGGTGGATCTGGTTGATGGAAATGGCGAAGAGACAGGCAAATATGCCTTAACGTCAAAGCTGGTCGCGATGATCAAATCTTAAAGCTCTCTGTTTGCCAACCCTCCTTGGGACCCTGAGTCTTACAAAACAGACCTTTTGAGTCTGTGCTTAGCCTGTGGCTGTACTAGGCTCCACTCTCACTATGGCCCCAAATGCTGCCAGCCAAGGTGCAGCTGTCCCAGCCTCTGACAGGCCTGAACGACCGCCCTCCTCTCCTTCCTTTCAGATCTCCACATCTGCCAGCCCTGTGCAAAAGAAGAATGGGCACCCGAGGGAAGCACGACTTGCTTCCCACGCACCGTGGAGTTCTTGGCTTGGCAGGAGCCCATCTCTCTGGTGCTACTAACAGCTAACACACTACTGCTGCTGCTGCTGGTTGGGACCACTGGCCTGTTTGCAAGGCATCTCCACACGCCTGTGGTGAGGTCAGCCGGGGGCAGGCTGTGCTTCCTCATGCTGGGCTCCCTGGCTGCGGGGAGTTGCAGCTTCTATGGCTTCTTCGGGGAGCCCACGGTGCCCACATGCTTGCTGCGGCAGCCCCTCTTTTCTCTCGGTTTTGCCGTCTTCCTCTCCTGCCTGACAATCCGCTCCTTCCAACTGGTCATCATCTTCAAGTTCTCCACCAAGGTACCCACATTCTACCACACCTGGGCCCAAAACCACGGTGCCGGTCTGTCTGTCACTGCCAGCTCCACGGTCCACTTGCTCATCTGTGTCCTATGGCTTGCAGTGTGGACCCCACTGCCCACCAGGGAATACCAGCGCTTCCCCCATCTGGTGATTCTCGAGTGCACAGAGGTCAACTCTGCGGGCTTCCTGCTGGCGTTCACCCACAACATCCTCCTCTCCGTCAGCACCTTTGCCTGCAGCTACCTGGGTAAGGAGCTGCCGGAGAACTATAACGAAGCCAAATGTGTCACCTTCAGCCTGCTTCTCAACTTCGTATCCTGGATCGCCTTCTTCACCACGTCCATCATTTACCAGGGCAGCTACTTGCCGGCCGTCTATGTGATGGCCGGGCTGGCCACTCTGAGTGGCGGCTTCAGCGGTTACTTCCTCCCCAAGTGCTATGTGATTCTCTGCCGCCCGGACCTCAACAACGCCGAACACTTTCAGGCCTCCATTCTGGACTACACGAGGCGCAGCGGCTCTACCTGACCCTGGGGTGGGTGGGTGGCGGCTGTTGGGGCGGGGCAGACCGGAAGCCCCGCTTGTTGTCCTCCAAGCAGCAGATCCAGCGGGGCGGAGGTGTCTGGGAGAGCTCGGCCATGGCTTGCAATGTGCAAGGACACAGAAGAATCCTGCCTAATAAAGACGTGAATTGTGTGTGTGGCTTTCTGGCTGCGCTTCCGGGCCGGGGCCGGGGCCGGGGCGCGGGGAGGCGGGAGGAAGGGGGACTCGGGACCGCACACTTCAATCGGCCGGAGCCGGAACCTAGCGCCCAGCTTGACGTTGCTAGGCGACTCCGGGAAGGAGCCCCAGCGCTCATTAGGATTCAGGCCTGGCCCCGCCCTTTCCTTGGCCCATTGGTCTTCCTCTGAGGCTCCGCCTTTCGGGGCGGGGAAATGAGAGTCCTACGCTCCCCCCCAAGGCGTCGGGTTCTGGCCGGCGCGCCCCAACGTCACATCCGGCGTGGCGACGGCGGCGTCTCCGCGCAGTGGGCCGGGCAGTAGTTACTTGTGGGCGGTGGAAGTGTGTGTCCCGGAGCCGTGCGGCCGGTGTGAGCCCGGAGGCCGGGCGGGGTGAGGAGGGCGCGGGAGGGAGCCGGCGAGCCTCCCCGGGCGCTGGCGAGAGTGTGGCCGCCGCCCCGGGCTCTGGCTGGAGCCTTGCAGGCGCGGCGTGGGCTTGGGTCACCCGTGCGCAGCCGCCGGCGGCCTGGGGTGAGGCCGATCAGAGCGCGCTCACTCCTGTGGGTCCCCAGATTTGCATTTTCATTGTTTGCTCCCTAGCACCCTGCCCCGGCCCTGCCCCGCACCATGCTCTTCCACTCGGCTCTCCGGGGCAGCCCGTGCCACTCCCCGCCCCTGAGGCTGTCACTCCACGCCGGCTGTGCTCCTCGTGCACCTTCTAACCTTGACCCGAGCCTTCATCCGTCCCGACACAGGAGGCTGTGCAAGGGTCCAGCTCACTGCAGTCCAAGGGCTTTCTCGATTGGGCTGGCCAGAGTGTCATGTTTGCCTTCCTTTCCAGATCATGGACGGTTCCTTCGTGCAGCACAGCGTGAGGGTTCTGCAGGAACTCAACAAGCAGCGGGAAAAGGGCCAGTACTGCGATGCCACGCTGGACGTGGGGGGCCTGGTGTTCAAGGCACACTGGAGTGTCCTGGCCTGCTGCAGCCATTTCTTCCAGAGAATCTATGGGGACGGCTCAGGGGGCAGCGTTGTCCTTCCTGCAGGTTTTGCTGAGATTTTTGGCCTCCTGCTGGACTTCTTCTACACTGGTCACCTCGCCCTCACCTCAGGGAACAGGGATCAGGTGCTCTTGGCAGCCAAGGAGTTGCGGGTGCCAGAGGCTGTCGAGCTGTGTCAGAGTTTCCAGCCCAGGACCTCAGTGGGACAGGCACCAAGTGTCCAGAGTGGACTGGGGGAGCAGCCTGCCTCCCAGGATGTGAAAAGCCACCTCAAGGAGCCAACAGACTTGGACGAGGGGGAAGTTTTCAGGACTCTAAGCCTGGCCCCTGAGGATCAGGAGTTCAGAGACAGTCAGCAGCCCCAGCTCAACCCCCCTGCTCAGAGCAGCCCCTCCTTCCTCTGTGGGAAACTCAAGCAGGCTCTGAAGCCTTGTCCGTCAGAGGACAAAGTATCTGAGGACTGCAAAGGGCCTCAGAGGCCCTTCGAGGCTAGAGGTGCCCCATTGCAGGGCGAGAGTAACGAGGTAAATGCTACTGGTGGGTAGGAACTAGGGAGACAAGCCTAAGGGTCAAGAGGGACACTTCCGGAGTTAAACATAGGAAGCCAGTGGCCTCGGCTGACCTTTCTGTGAGCTGCACTTAGCCATAAGTCGCCAGCATCCTAGGGGTGGAGTGAGCATCAGGGTTACAGGTGAAACCTGGCCAGCTCCCTGGTAATAGAGCCCCTTTCCTCTGAGGCCAAGATTTACATGTGGTCTGCCCTGGGTCCCTGAAGCTGCTGCTGGTCCTTTGGTGACACTCCCCCCTCCTGCTGCCTCCTCTACTCTAGTGGGAAGTAGTGGTTCAAGTTGAGGACGACGGGGATGGCGATTCCGGTTCTGAGCCCGAGACTGTGCTGACCAGGCGGAAGTCAAAAGTAATGGGAAAGCCCTGTGCTGCAGAGCCAGCCCTGGGTGCGGGGTCCCTGGCAGCGGAGCCCACGGAGGGAAGGAAAGGTGCTGCAGTGCCGGTTGAATGTCCCACATGTCATAAAAAGTTCCTCAGCAAATACTACCTAAAAGTCCACAACAGGTAAACGCTCTGTTTTCCTATTTGCTTTTCCCTTTGGGCTCTGTTGGGGACTGGGGGCTCTGTGTTAGGCCCATAGTGCTTGGTTGGCATGCCTCTTCCTGTGGATCATGGGTTTGTGGACAACTGAACAGTACATTCACCCCACTGTAGACTTTGACAGTGGACAGGCTTCTGCCCACGTGAGATGTGAGACAAACCTCTGGGTCCTTCCTGAGCTGGAGCTAGGACTTCCGGGAGTCTGGCAATGAAGGCTGTGACAAGAGGCTAATCCTTAGGACTGAGGCTGCTTGTGTTCCTGGGGCTATTAGCTCCGGGAGCAAGAGAAGACTTACTGGATATTAGCTCTGGGAGTAAGAAGACTATTTGTCTAACTGGGACCCCCCATACACCTGTGGAGTCTTTCCCTATTTAGTGTTTTTTTTGTTGTTGTTGTTGTTTGTTTTTTAAACCTTTCTATGTAACCCAAACTTATGTAGACCAGGCTGGCCTCGAACTCAAAGAGATTCGCCTGCCTCTGTCTCCCAAGTGCTGGCACGAGTGCTCAGTAGCTATGTGACTGTTCGTTTTTCCACCAAGCTAGGGTGTGTTGAGCCGTGCTGTGTTGTCAGTACGATATTCTGGGTATCTGTTAGTGCTCACCTGGAGTGGAGTGGGAACCCATTTGCCATCCCTGTGCTTTGGCTTTGAGGTAGCCAAGGCTGGCTGCACAGGAGGTGCCCATGCTCCATCCATCCCTTCCTTGGTCTGTAGTTTGCTGATGTCCCTGAGAACTGGGAGGGGATGGATGGCTTCAAGATTATTGTATCTAGGAATGGCAGTGCTTCTCTGTAATCCCAGCACTTGGAAAGTAGTGGCAGGAGGACTGCTGCAAGCTTGAGTCTGTGTAGTGAGTGTTAGTCTAGCCAGGACTACATAGGGAGACCCTGTCTCAAAAGAAAAATAGAAATTGAGGCCCTTGCCATGGCAGGGATTGGAGTGAAGAGGGTGAGAGGAAGCTCGGCTTGTGGCCCTGAGGCAGAGCTACCGCCGCTCTGAGATCAGGGTTTGTTTAGATTTGGTAGCTGTTTGAGCACAAGACAAGCATCTGTCTTGGTGACAAGACAGATGAGCCATTAGAGCACGTGAGCCAAACTAAGGTCTCTGTGGCACTTGGAGAAAAGAGGAAGCTGAGATTTAGAATGAAGCTGACAGACAGACCAAGTTGCTGGCTCATGCCTGCTGTTTGGCACCTCCTGTGAGGTTCAGGCCAGTTGGGGCTACAGAGTGTCAGACCATGTTTGAGGGAGGGGTAGAAGGAGAGTGGGACCTAGGCATTGGTTTTGGAGTGTACTGCATAGGGTCAGTTTCTGAAAACTGTGGCCTGGGGACTATAAGAAGGCGGGGAGCCTACCCCCTACCCCGTGATCTGCAGTGTTCCTCTGCCACGGAGCTACATCCCTAGCCCTTTTTCAGTGACATGGGCCTTACTAAATTACCTGGGCTGGCCTGGAGTTGGTGATCCTTCTGCCTTAGCTTGGAGTAGCTGGGAATGGGCAGGGAATATACTTGCCTAACACATGAGCCTAGTGCTGGGGGCAGGTGGGATCTAAACCAAGTAGCTGGGATACATCACAGGCTTCTGCCACCTGCCTAGGCTGAAAGGTAAGGAAGCCATTCACTGGGGAGAGCCTCCTGCTGGGAACAGAGCTAGCAGTAATGTCCTGGGCTTGGAGTAAGCGTGACTAGTGTGAGGGGTGAGGGCAGACAAGGACTTCAGAGCAAGGCCAGTGAGGGGCTGGCTAGTTCACTCAGGCCGCCCATGTCCTCCTTGTGTGAAATAGGAAGCACTGGAGGACTGAGCCAAGAGGTAATGAGGGCTGCCTTATCTCCAAAGGCTTCTGAAGTCAGTAGAACTGGCTGGCGAGACAGGTAGGGAGCCAGGGACCTAGCGGTGACTCACGGGACCCCAAGAGCTGCTGCAGCCAGTGTGCTATCAGTGAGAGGAAGGGAGCAGAATCTGGGCATAGTGTTTTACATTTGTTTATTTATTTACTCATGGGGTGGGGGTGGAAGTCAGAGCACAACTTGTGGGAGTGGTTTTTCTGTCACCACGTGGGTCTCAGGGATTGAACTTGGATCCTCTGGCTTGGCAGCCAAGTGCTTTTGTGCACTGAGCCATATCACCTGCCTGCCTGCCTGCCTGCCTGCCTGCCTACCATGTGGCTGAACGTGGAGCTCACAGGGAGGAGGTTGGTGCCAACCAGGCTGTGCCAGTCAGCTAGCTCTAAAGCACCCATGGAATGAGGCTGGTGCAAGTAGGGCTGGCTGCCGGTCCCCACCTGTCCCGCCATGGCTGTTTCTTCTCTTCCTGAGGGTCTCTACACTGGAGGGGATTTCTGATCTTTCCACTGCATGTCCAACTTGGGGGTCACTGAGCCTTCTTGGTGAGCCCTGGCTGGCCTCAGGACACCTATGCCCCAGCATAGGTCTGTATCAGGAGTGGGAGGGCTCCTGAGCGCCCGAGAGGCGGGACAGCCTCTTGGCCCCCCGCAACGCTGTGGCCTCTCTTCTTGGCAGGAAACACACCGGGGAGAAACCCTTTGAGTGTCCCAAATGTGGGAAGTGTTACTTTCGCAAGGAGAACCTCTTGGAGCATGAAGCCCGGAATTGCATGAACCGCTCAGAACAGGTACTTGGGAATTGGGCCAAGTAATTGTGGGCAGCAGCCCAGTGACCGACCTGTGTCCTCGTGCCATCTGGGAAGGACCCCCAGGAAATGCTACAGGGTTATAAAATAGGAGCTGCAGGGGCCTTGGATGCCATCACATCCACATTCTAGTACAAGGGGACACTTGTTCAGAGGGCACAGGGGATAAGCCCTGGGGGGATGTTTTGGGTTAGCTCCATCTTGGGCTTTGGAGCAAGGAAAGTGTTTGTGGGGGTGGCTGCTGGGAGGGGCTGCCTTGCATGCCCCCCTGCCACAGGTGGGTAGTGTTTGGCTAAACCCCACCCTTCTCTTCCTAGAGACAGTAGCAGCTGCCCCCTCCCCCACCTGTGTGGAGATGAGAAGGGTCTGGTGTGTGGTTGTGGACAGTGCTCTGTGATGGTTAAGGCAGGCAGGTTACATGTTGCCCTCTCCTACCCCAGCATCCCTTACCCCAGGCAGACACTTCCCAGCAGCGTGTGGAAGCCCCTGCAGAGGCTGCCGTCGCAGGCAGAGGCCCTCGCTGATGCTGGCCCTGCTTGCCCCTCACACTGCCAGGTCTTCACATGCTCCGTGTGCCGGGAGACCTTCCGCAGGAGGATGGAGCTGCGGGTGCACATGGTGTCTCACACGGGGGAAATGCCCTACAAGGTCAGGCCGAGGTCACCGCCTGGGTGGGGATGTGGGTCCCTTTGCCTAGGGTGGTATCTGGCACCTCTCCCTCGAAGCCTGCCTCCCTTGTCCATCCAGTGACACCGTATAGACAGGGACACTTCTCTAGCCACCCGTGCTCAACATTTCTCTGGGCCTGGAGTGATGGCTGAGCATTGCCCCTCTAGGGAGTCCCCCTTCAGCAGACTGGGGACTGTCCTGGCATTTGGGTTAGGCCCTTCTTCACCATGACCTGACAGCATTTCTCTGGGCCTGGAGTGATGGCTGAGCATTGCCCCTCTGGGGAGTCCCCCTTCAGCAGACCGGGGACTGTCCTGGCATTTGGGTTAGGCCCTTCTTCACCATGACCTGACAGCAAGGCACTGATGGTGCAGGGTGCTGAGGCTGACTGGGCCTCTTGTTTCAGTGCTCCTCCTGCTCCCAGCAGTTCATGCAGAAGAAGGACTTGCAGAGTCACATGATCAAGCTGCACGGAGCCCCCAAGCCCCATGCAGTAAGTGCCAGGCGGGGCTGGGGCACCTGTGGCTCCTGGGCAGCCCAGCCCTGTCCTCACCTGGCACCACCCCCTCTGCCCGTCTCAACCGCCTGCAGTGCCCCACGTGTGCCAAGTGCTTCCTGTCCAGGACAGAACTGCAGCTGCACGAGGCTTTTAAGCACCGTGGAGAAAAGCTGTTTGTGTGTGAAGAGTGTGGGCACCGGGCCTCAAGCCGCAACGGTCTGCAGATGCACATCAAGGCCAAGCACAGGTACGAGCCCTTCCCTTGCCGGAGTGTGGCCCCGTTGCACGGTGGTCCAGGAAGCAGCATCTGGTGCCTGCAGCCTTTCCACGGTGGGGGTGGGAGGCGGGCAGGCTTGTTAGGCTAGTGGGGAGGGATCAGGTGAGGACCTTCCTTGCCTCACTTTCCTGACCCCCTCATCTGTAGACGTCTCCTTTGCTGCTGGGAATGGTGGTGGTGTCCTTTGTGTGGAACCACCCAAGCCCTATACCTCAGCACCTTCCAGCTCTAACAAATGACTGAAAGCAGGTGGCCTCCCCCAGTTATGGCCTCCGCCTTGTGTCCCTCTCTGAACAGGAATGAAAGACCTTATGTCTGCGAGTTCTGCAGCCATGCTTTTACCCAGAAGGCAAATCTCAACATGCACCTTCGCACACACACAGGCGAGAAGCCTTTCCAGTGCCACCTCTGTGGCAAGACCTTCCGCACCCAAGGTGAGGCAGGCCTGTCCCCTCCTTCCCCGGGGCTCAGGCCAGCAACTGAGCACCACCTTGTCCCCCACAGCCAGTCTGGACAAGCACAACCGCACCCACACGGGGGAGAGGCCTTTCAGGTGTGAGTTCTGCGAGCAGCGCTTCACTGAGAAGGGCCCGCTTCTGAGGCATGTGGCCAGTCGCCACCAGGAGGGCAGGCCTCACTTCTGCCAGATTTGTGGCAAGACCTTCAAAGGTAAGAGGGCCAGCAGGCCAGCTGTGAGAGAACAGAGGGCCTGGCTTCCATTTCCTGCCTACCTGAGTAGGAGGGCAACAGTGGCTTCCCAGTGTTGCTTAGAACCTTCCAGCCATCAGGGTTCTGTCTTCCATGTGCTGAGAGAGATGAGTGGACCTGCTGTGACAGTGGAGGTGGCGGCAGGGCGTCCTGGACCTGGGCAATGGTGGCCTCAGTGTGGTGCTGTAGAGCCTGGAGTGGGGGAGACCCTGCCAAGTGCCACCTCCTGCCCCTTAGGCCCTGGGATGCCTTGTCTCCCATCTCCGTCCTGTCCCTGCCATGTCCCCTTCTCCTAATGCCAGTGGCCCCCTTCCTCCCACAGCCGTGGAACAGCTACGTGTGCACGTCAGACGACACAAGGGTGTGAGGAAGTTTGAATGCACCGAATGTGGCTACAAGTTCACTCGGCAGGTAGGCCAGGCCCCCGGTCTCCTGCCCCCTCTGCGTTCTGTCCCCAGCCCTGAGCTTTCCACTCCCCACAGGCTCACCTGCGGAGGCACATGGAGATCCACGATAGAGTGGAAAACTACAACCCACGGCAGCGCAAGCTCCGGAACCTGGTCATTGAGGATGAGAAGATGGTGGTGGTGGCACTCCAGCCGCCTGCAGACCTGGAGATGGGCTCTGCAGAGGTCATCGTAGAGTCCCTGACCCAGGGCGGCCTGGCCTCCCAGCTCCCTAGCCAGAGACTCTGTGCGGAGGAGAGCTTTGCCAGCCCCAGCGTCCTGGAGCCTTCACTCATCATCACAGCTGCTGTTCCTGAGGACTGTGACTCATAGACCCCCTGCCCAGTTAGTCCCATCCACCAATAAACAGGTGACTTTGGATTCACTTGTCTGTTGCCTGATGTTCTGCAGCTATGGGCCTGGACTAAACTGATGGGCTTCCTCCCAGCCATCCACTTGCACCCATCCAGTCCTTGACTGAGTGCAGCTGCTTCCCCAGCTCTGGTCACCTCAGCCTGTCCCTCACTCCCACATGCCAGTGGCTAGTGTCCCTATTTAGCGTAGTATAGGCAAGGCCAGCCATGGGTTGAAACTCTGAAGTTGGGCAAAGTAGCCAGGGCCCATGGTCATGGCTTCATTGGCTGGAGTTAAGCTAGTCCAGTGAAACTGAACATGCTTAATAACAGCTACGCCAGCCAGCCTTGCCTGGCTGCATGCCCATGGAGGGACCATCCCTGGCAAGGACCCTAACTTGGTTCAGACTTTGAATGGGAAGGGGCATGGGTCCCACCTTTATAGTATAAACAGGTGCTGCAGACCTGTGCTTAAATGGGCTGGTCCCCGCTCAGGCTTCTCAGACAAGTACTGAGAAAGCTCACTGGGTCGGAAACCTCCACCAAATTATTGGGGGCTGCTCCAAGATAGCACTCTTTCAAGCCTGCCTGGCCTGTTAGCACAGGCGCAGCTTGGGCCTGGGTTCCTGGGGGCTGCTGGGACTTCCTCAGCATGGAAGCTGATCTCTAAGTCAGTGTCCCCCAATCAGAAGCACACAAGGCCTGCCTGTGACCCAGCTGGGGAAGTGGTCTGATGTCATCTTTGCCACACTGTTGGTTGAGGCTTGTCACCAGTACTTCCTGGTTAGAGGAGGCATAGAACTCAGTTGGATTGTGAAACATGGTCACTTTGGAACATCCCACCACCCAGGCTGGGCCAGTGATGGTCACGGCCGCAGCAGCTGGAGCCAGGCTTTGCCTGATCCCCTTGTTCCAGGAGATGCCACACTCCTGCCCTTACATACACTAATTCCCCCGGCATTGAGAGGCTAGGGAAATGGGCTTCACTCAGAACTAACACACCCGACTCCCTTTCATTCCTGGCCAGCCATCGGCAGCTGAGGGAGAGGTAGTACGCATCCCAGGTTTGCTAACCCAGGCCATCAGCAGCTTCAGATCTGTTCTGAAGACAGTTTTGGCCACGGGGTTGGGGATGCGGCTCGGTGGTCAGTCTACCCTCAGGGGTCCTAGCCTGTTTCCAGCCTAGGCATTGGGTCTGTCTGCATGGGCTCTGTGGGAGGAGAGTGGTCCACACTGAAGGCTTAGGGACCTGTGTAGAAACCCTCTAGGTCAGTGGTTCTCAACCTTCCTAATGCTGCGACCCTTTAATACAGTTCCTCATGATGAGGTGACTCCAAACCACAAAATCACTTTTACTGCTACTTCATAACCGTAATTTTGCTACTGTTACAAATTATATTGCAAATATCAGGTCTCTGATGGCCTTTGGGAGTCACAACCCACAGGTTAAGAACCACTGACCCTCCCAGGTCAAGGTCCATCTCACTGTGGGCAGAAGCCATCCGCCCTCTGCACACCAGGTGTGTATTTCACCATCTGAGGTGAGAAAGGGCCCGAAAGGCTCTGTGATGCTGGACTCCCCAACCTACCTCCCACGCCTGCTGGCCAGCATTCACTCTGCCGTCCAGATCTTACCCCCAACACCTGTTCTGGCCTCTGCAGATTCCCAGAAGGCAGAGTGAAGCAAGAAGATGAAGGCCAGCTGGGAGGTGTGGGCTTTCACCTCTAATCCCGGCGCTTAGGAGGCAGAGGCAGGAGATCTCTGTGAGTTTGAGGCCAGCCTGGTCTACAGAGTGAGTTCCAGGACAGCCAGAGCTACATAGTGAGACTCTGGAAAAACAAAAGAAGATGAAGGCCATGACACCCAGCATATAGGAAATATTTTATTTCAAAAAGTAGGGGAGCATCCTAAAACCTTAGAATGCTGGACATAGACGCCTATAGAGTAGACAAAAAAATAAATATACAAATCTGCCCCAGCCACTGGTGTGTCTGAGTGCTGGTCACCTAAGGAAGGTGACCTTCATTAATAAGTCTCTGATGTCATAAATACAAGAAATCCCTTATAGGTCAGCATCAGATACCAGGCACAGAACTTCTCATAACTTAATTTTATCCTGACATATAGAAGCTTTTTACATGTGACAGGGACAATCCCATACCTATGTAGCCCAACTTTAATCCCTGTTAGTGCAGACGTGTCAAGCGGTGGGGTTGCAACCCAGAGCCCGTGGCAGAGGTGAAGCTGAGGCAGGGACTGTCCTGGACTCCCAGTGGGTCCACAGTGAGTGCCTACTGTGCACTATCCAAACATGGGTCGTGATGTGGAAACCTGAGTAGCTAGGGAGCACAGGTGGACAGAGGCGCCCTGTGCAAGCATGCATTATAATGCATAGGAGAGTGCAGACACAGCACTTCCTCTGGGAAGCCTCCTAGCCTGTCCCCAAGAGGATCTGACACTGGTGGCAAGTCCACACGTGGACCCAACAGCACACTTGCGGCAGCACTGAGGTCTGATGCATGCACAGGACCCTGCCCTGCCAAGGCACGCCACAGAGTACCAACGCCGCTGGGCGGCAACTCTTTAAGGCTCACTGAGGAAAGGCACTAGAGGACTGGGCTGACAACACCTGGGAACAAAACCAACTACAGCCGCACACCCCACAGGAGCCTAGGACACCAGTGGGTCCACGCTGGGGCAGCACTGCCGGTACGCACTCAGTCCTCTCCCCAGGGTCAGGTGCCCAGAATAGCACTTTAGAACATGGATTTCAAACCCAGCAGGATGGCATCTGCCGTGCACGGCACCAAACAAAGTAGGTAGGGACTTGGGATATTAAGGCAGCACCAGACTGCCACCTGGTCAAGAAGAGTGTGTGTGTGATGGGTCAGGCTCGACTCCTAAAGCCCCGCCCACCCGCCAAGTTCACCAAAGTACCCTGAACCTTGGCTTTGTCTCTAACGTAAGAGTCCTAACATCCTCTTCCCCAGAAAGAGGCACGATGACAAACCCCAGCAGAGAGGCCACTGGGTGCCTTGATTGGTCTCAGCACCCAAGACCCATGAAACCAAAGTCAGGAAGAAACTCAGGGGTTCCCTGAGCCACATGTAGCTCAGGTGTCCTGGTCCTCCACACCTGGGCCTGAGCTCCTAGGAATCCTAAGCTTTCCATACAATGGTGGAAATTTCTAGCAACAATGTTCAAGTCAGACAGAGCCACTTATCTCTTACTTCTCCCAACTCGTTTCTTTTTGAGTTGAAACTGAAAGCATTTCAAAGCTAGACCCAATTGCTGGGCCACTCCACTGGCTGCTTCTAGAAGCAGGAATCTTCACTCCCAGGCCCAGCATCTGTCCATTTAGCCTAGTGTCAGTGAGATTCCTGAGGAGGCACAGTGATCCAGCTTTGTGAACATTGGTCATGTCCCCCAGCCTTGCCTCTGCAGGTTTGAGACAGAGCCCCAGGGAAAGCCAGGGAGAGCCTCCTGGCCAGGTGAGAGCATGTACTCTGGAAACAAAACCTTTCAAGCTCACAGTGTGGCTTAATCTGCCAACTCAGTACTTGAAAGTCTACCCCGTGGGGTGAGACCCCAACAGACGTGCAAAGCTAGGTGAGCTGACACCCCCTGGAGCAGCATTAGCTACAGCGAACCTTCGTCCTAGATGAGGAGTTTAGTGCCTTTGTCTTCCTGGGTCCCCAGTGTTCCACTTCCTGTCACAGGGACCCTTGCCTTCTGCTCTGGGATCAAGCAGGCCCAGGAGGGGGCAGCAAGGAAAGGCACACTGCATGGTGAGTTGGATGCTACAAGCTGGAGGTAACTTCCGGAAGGCGGAGATACAGAACGGTGGGGAAGTCACTGGTTCTTGACCATACAGGTCACCACCAGCTTTGTCCCTAGAGGCTGTGACATAGGCTCCGAAAGTACAGAAACCCTCACGTGAAGCATCTAGGGGCTCTCTCAGCACCTAATGAGCCACTGCTGTGCTTGGTGACCCATCCTGTGCAAAAAGGAGAAGCCAGTCCTCTGCAGGTGCCAGGCCCCTTGCACCAGGGCCCTCTCTTGGGCCAGGCCTGGGCTAGTGCAGCTCGTCAGGGTTCTGTGGCGGCCTGAGGCGGCCTGCATCCATGTCGTCACTGCCACTGTTCAGCTCAAAGCCACGGCCCCCTGATGGTGTCTGTGGCATGAACTGGCGGAAGATGCTCACACTGCCGTGCCAGAAAGTGGGCTCTGGAAGCCGTCCCACCACACTCCATGCCCGGGTCTCTGGGTCATATGCCTCCACCACGTCGGAGAGTTCAAATGTATTGTCATATCCCCCAGAGACATAAAGCTTGCCTCCCAGGACGGCCAGGCTGCCCCCAACATGTACCTGCAGGTCAAGGCGGAGGAGTGAGAGGCAGGCAACTGTGGCAGGGCACACCTTCCTCCCTAATTGCTCTAGTGACTTCCATAACCATAGCACTGGGAACCATCCTCAGCCAGCTAGTTTCTAGGGAATGTAGACAGAATAAGCCAAGGTCTTCTGTTCCTCAACTAGGAAAATGGTGCTCCCTATATGGTCTCTAGGGCAGGCTTATCTGTTCTTTCCATCTTATGGATAGGAGAAAGTGTGCTGAGGCAGCCATCAGTGACAGCTGGGAACTGAACCAGGTCAGATGCTACAGAGACTTCAAAAGTCATCACTTCCTCTCAGGAAGCAGAGATAGGAGACCCTGACCAGACGACACCAGCAGCGGAGATGCCCCTGTTCATGGCACACGGTACGTGTCCAGTAAATGTATTCCCAAGGTCAATTCCTCGAGAGGTAGCTGGGGTGGGGAGTTCCCAGGGGCCTGTCTGAGCCCATTCCCTCTAGTCTCTCTAGGAGAGTGCAGACACAGCACTTCCTCTGGGAAGCCTCCTAGCCTGTCCCCAAGAGGATCTGACACTGGTGGCAAGTCCACACGTGGACCCAACAGCACACTTGCGGCAGCACTGAGGTCTGATGCATGCACAGGACCCTGCCCTGCCAAGGCACGCCACAGAGTACCAACGCCGCTGGGCGGCAACTCTTTAAGGCTCACTGAGGAAAGGCACTAGAGGACTGGGCTGACAACACCTGGGAACAAAACCAACTACAGCCGCACACCCCACAGGAGCCTAGGACACCAGTGGGTCCACGCTGGGGCAGCACTGCCGGTACGCACTCAGTCCTCTCCCCAGGGTCAGGTGCCCAGAATAGCACTTTAGAACATGGATTTCAAACCCAGCAGGATGGCATCTGCCGTGCACGGCACCAAACAAAGTAGGTAGGGACTTGGGATATTAAGGCAGCACCAGACTGCCACCTGGTCAAGAAGAGTGTGTGTGTGATGGGTCAGGCTCGACTCCTAAAGCCCCGCCCACCCGCCAAGTTCACCAAAGTACCCTGAACCTTGGCTTTGTCTCTAACGTAAGAGTCCTAACATCCTCTTCCCCAGAAAGAGGCACGATGACAAACCCCAGCAGAGAGGCCACTGGGTGCCTTGATTGGTCTCAGCACCCAAGACCCATGAAACCAAAGTCAGGAAGAAACTCAGGGGTTCCCTGAGCCACATGTAGCTCAGGTGTCCTGGTCCTCCACACCTGGGCCTGAGCTCCTAGGAATCCTAAGCTTTCCATACAATGGTGGAAATTTCACCTGTATATCTTCAAGTCAGACAGAGCCACTTATCTCTTACTTCTCCCAACTCGTTTCTTTTTGAGTTGAAACTGAAAGCATTTCAAAGCTAGACCCAATTGCTGGGCCACTCCACTGGCTGCTTCTAGAAGCAGGAATCTTCACTCCCAGGCCCAGCATCTGTCCATTTAGCCTAGTGTCAGTGAGATTCCTGAGGAGGCACAGTGATCCAGCTTTGTGAACATTGGTCATGTCCCCCAGCCTTGCCTCTGCAGGTTTGAGACAGAGCCCCAGGGAAAGCCAGGGAGAGCCTCCTGGCCTAGCTTTGTCATGTCCCCCAGCCTTGCCTCTGCAGGTTTGAGACAGAGCCCCAGGGAAAGCCAGGGAGAGCCTCCTGGCCAGGTGAGAGCATGTACTCTGGAAACAAAACCTTTCAAGCTCACAGTGTGGCTTAATCTGCCAACTCAGTACTTGAAAGTCTACCCCGTGGGGTGAGACCCCAACAGACGTGCAAAGCTAGGTGAGCTGACACCCCCTGGAGCAGCATTAGCTACAGCGAACCTTCGTCCTAGATGAGGAGTTTAGTGCCTTTGTCTTCCTGGGTCCCCAGTGTTCCACTTCCTGTCACAGGGACCCTTGCCTTCTGCTCTGGGATCAAGCAGGCCCAGGAGGGGGCAGCAAGGAAAGGCACACTGCATGGTGAGTTGGATGCTACAAGCTGGAGGTAACTTCCGGAAGGCGGAGATACAGAACGGTGGGGAAGTCACTGGTTCTTGACCATACAGGTCACCACCAGCTTTGTCCCTAGAGGCTGTGACATAGGCTCCGAAAGTACAGAAACCCTCACGTGAAGCATCTAGGGGCTCTCTCAGCACCTAATGAGCCACTGCTGTGCTTGGTGACCCATCCTGTGCAAAAAGGAGAAGCCAGTCCTCTGCAGGTGCCAGGCCCCTTGCACCAGGGCCCTCTCTTGGGCCAGGCCTGGGCTAGTGCAGCTCGTCAGGGTTCTGTGGCGGCCTGAGGCGGCCTGCATCCATGTCGTCACTGCCACTGTTCAGCTCAAAGCCACGGCCCCCTGATGGTGTCTGTGGCATGAACTGGCGGAAGATGCTCACACTGCCGTGCCAGAAAGTGGGCTCTGGAAGCCGTCCCACCACACTCCATGCCCGGGTCTCTGGGTCATATGCCTCCACCACGTCGGAGAGTTCAAATGTATTGTCATATCCCCCAGAGACATAAAGCTTGCCTCCCAGGACGGCCAGGCTGCCCCCAACATGTACCTGCAGGTCAAGGCGGAGGAGTGAGAGGCAGGCAACTGTGGCAGGGCACACCTTCCTCCCTAATTGCTCTAGTGACTTCCATAACCATAGCACTGGGAACCATCCTCAGCCAGCTAGTTTCTAGGGAATGTAGACAGAATAAGCCAAGGTCTTCTGTTCCTCAACTAGGAAAATGGTGCTCCCTATATGGTCTCTAGGGCAGGCTTATCTGTTCTTTCCATCTTATGGATAGGAGAAAGTGTGCTGAGGCAGCCATCAGTGACAGCTGGGAACTGAACCAGGTCAGATGCTACAGAGACTTCAAAAGTCATCACTTCCTCTCAGGAAGCAGAGATAGGAGACCCTGACCAGACGACACCAGCAGCGGAGATGCCCCTGTTCATGGCACACGGTACGTGTCCAGTAAATGTATTCCCAAGGTCAATTCCTCGAGAGGTAGCTGGGGTGGGGAGTTCCCAGGGGCCTGTCTGAGCCCATTCCCTCTAGTCTCTCACACACACACACACACCAGCCCCGGGGCCTCTAACGTGCTACCTCTCTCTAGTCCTCACCCCTTCTGCTCTTCGTAGGGCTGCAGTGACCACTAGCCTAGTCTTGAGATCCTATTTAACATCTGGTACCAGCAGTTTCAGATGTAGTGAGGGTAACACCGGCTTCCATTAACCGAGAGAACACCTGGAGAGGACTAAATGCAGGCCCCGCCCACCATGACTGTCTCCCAAACACTATCTTAATGACAGTTCAGTTGAAGGCTGCACTTACAAACGCTGGCACGCCTGCAGATTTACCTGATTCATAGATGGGATCTTGTCCCATTCATTCTTTGTGGGGTTGTATACGTCCACCTCGGCAGAGTCATCCCTGCGGAAGCAACAGAAGACAGCCAGTCAGACAAGGGCAGCAGCAACCTGCGTGTGAAGGGCCAGACTCCTCGGAGCTGCTGACTCTTGCGGGGGACCTGTATGTATATTATTTGAGTCGAGGTCTTGGTTGGTAGCCCAGACTGGCTTTGAACCCACTGGGTTATGTATCCCGATACTTTCTGCCTTCTTTGCAGCAGAAACCAAAGAGCCACAGCTGGAAGGGGCTGGGCTGGACAGGGCTCCCTGTCTCCTCTTTTCAAGGATGCTACCTCCCAGCCACAGTCAACACCTTGGCCTTTTCCAGAAACAGACTGGAGCCATTGCACAGAAGGCGGCCTAGGACAACGACCCCTTTTATTGGTCATGAATATCCAGGCGTTCAGGTGGGGCTGAAGTGGCTTCCTGTGTGGATGGTACATAACCAAACCACTGGCTGGACAAACCCCTCCCATGTTCCCTTGGAGAGCCAGCAATCAAAACTGAGTACTGTCCAGAAGGAGCCAACAGGTGTCAGGATCCTGCCCTAGGACCTCACGACAGGGACGGTATTCTCAAAGGTGCTGGGCAGCCAGCAGCCACTACACAGGGGCTGAAGCAAAGACCTGGCACTCTTCAGAGTTGTATTTATAGCCAGCCCCTCCCACTTCTTGAAGGCAACACAGGAGGTGGCAGAACTAGGGAAGTGCCAGGCAGTTTTATAACAGGACCCAGGCTGATGAAGATTCCAGGGCGTTCTCGAGCAGACCTCCAGGTCCTGGCATTTAAAGACACCAGGCCCCTCAGCTTCTTAGATGACGATATCACTTGTGTTTCCTTTAGACTCCTCAGAGCTCACCCTGAAGAACGAGTGGTGATCTATTTTGGGGGCAGAGCAGGCAAAGTTCAGTGCTCCTCAGCCAGGGAAAATACAGGCCAGGGCATACACCTTTGGGCTCCCAGATCAAAGTCCAGGACCAAAAGGAGACAGAGGGGACTGTCATTCACCCATTCCCTCCCTCCTTCCCTCCCAGCCTCACAGCTTCAGGCCGACCCCAGACCTGGGAGGGGAGCAGTGGATATACACACAGGCGATCAGGCATGCACAGGCACACACAAGTAGAAAGGGAATCCAGTTACCCTCCCAAATGTTCAGTAGCCAGTCAGTCAAGGCACATTTGACTGTGACCAAACAGGTCATTAAAACCAATGGATGGGGCTAAGGTAGAGCTGAGGCATCCATCTGTCTCATTCAGACAAACACGCTGCGCTGCACATGTGGCTGGCGGGTGTATGGTGACCCGCTGGCTGCTTAGCTAGGCACTGCCAAGACTCCACTATCTTTGAGGTAGCTTGATTAAGAAAACCTAGAAGCCCACAGAAATGGTCCAAGGGGTGGGACAAGCCCTAGCCTCCGATCTCAGCTTGGGCCTTCTTTCCTCATCTATGAAACACAGGGATGCTGAGCCAAAAACAGTGCTTCCAGGAACTCACCTGACGAAGTACATGAGTCCATTCAGGGTCACAGTCTTGGGTGCAAAGGACCAAGGTGGGAGCTGGCCACAGTCCACCAGTGACCATAGGTCAGCATCCGGGTCATAGCATTGTATCACCATGGTCTCCTTGCCTGCCAGGGAGCCAATGGCGTAGAGCCGGCCTCGGCAGGCAGTGGTAGAGCAGTTGTCCATGGGGTAGGCCATGGGCTGCAGGGCCTCCCAGGAGTCGCTGGCATGGTCATAGCGCTCTGTGCTGTCGGATGCCACCACGTACAGGAGCCCGTCCAGCACAGAAGAGCTGTGGTACTCTCGTGCCTTGAGCATGGGAGCCACCTCCGTCCACTCGTTCACACTTGAGTTGTATCTCCACACACAGTCATAGAGCCGGGAGCCATCAGACCCGCCTGGCAGGGCACACAAAGGGCAGATGGTCAGCCCACGTGAAGTGAATCACCCACCTGTGCCTTCCGGGGCTTCCGGGTGGGGCCTCTCCCTACAGGGGAATTAGCCTCACTCCCTTCACCCAAAATACACTTGTCTTCTTCTGGCCTTGCCAAAATGTCACTGTCAGTGGAGGCAGGGCACGGGCCTACTAATTGCTGTCAAATCAAGGCCAAAAGACGCCTCTCTCAACTGTCCGAAATTGGGGACACAGTTAAGCGGGTGGAGTGCTTCCTATAGCACACACGAACCCGGGTTTGCTCTCCAGAGAGCAACACATCCATCTGTAATCCCAGCTCTAGGCTACATGAGACCCCATCTGTTCCCAAGAAACACAACAAGGGCAGAGAGCACTGGCTGCTCTTTCAGAGGACCTGGGTTCAAGTCTCAGCACCCACATGGCAGCTCATAACCATCCATGACACCAGTCCTGAGGGATCTGATTGATGCCTTCTGGCTTCTGTGGGCACCGGGTATGTACATGGTACAGACTACATACAGGCAAAACACTTACACATTAAAAAATAAAATAAAGCTGGGTGCTGGCACTGCACACCTTTAATCCAAGCACTCGGGAAGTAGGTGAATCTTTGAGGTCCCAGCCAGCCTCATCCAGGATGGCCAGGGATACACAGAGAAACCCTGCCTCAAAAAACCAAAAAATAAAATAATAAAAAACAAAACTACCCTCTTCCACACAGCCCTAGATTTTCCCATCCAACACCACCACACTTAACTAATTCAGCCCGTCCACTCTTGGGTCTGAACAGCTCTTCTGGGTTGACACATGGGATTTGGCCACCAAACTCTAGACTTCCTGGACACTTTCAAACCAAGACTGTGTCAGAACAAGATGGGAAGAAACCCACACTGGCACCCAAGAGACCTAACACAGCAATCCACAGTGTCACACGCCTCTGTGGTTCTGGATTTTAGTGGAAGGCATGTTTCACTTCAAACTCTAATCAAGCTACACAGCATGACGGACACCGATTTTGTGTGTGTGTGTGTGTATGTGTCAACAAAAGTCTAAAAAATAACAATAATAGTGTAAAGTAGGTTTACGGCTATGGAACGCTCACAGTGTGAGGAGACTCCAGGAATCCTGGGGGCTGTGCCCCCTGGCTTTCTGGATGGTGCTCTGAACAGGGCAGACATTCTTTCTGTCCCTCAGCCCAGAGCTTTTGAGGGAAGAGTCTGAGGCACCTTTTACAGGCAGCTTCCTGGCACCACAGGAAAATCCCCCACCAGCAGCTGCAGGGAATATCACAGCCACCTGCCTAAACCCGATTCCCGATTCAGCTTCGGGACACTTACTCAAGGGCAAGTCTGGCCAGTTGGGGAAGGCGTTCTCTGCTGAAAACCAACAGCCAGACTTCAGAGGAGATGGGGGGCAGGGTGGCAAGGGCGGAGGCCCAAACGCTACACGCCCAGCGTCGGGCTGTTAAAGAGGGCTAGATTCTGACAGGCCTGACAAAGGGCTGGATTCAGGGGCCAGAGTTGAGCCTGTCCCGAAACAGGATGTGTCCCATCTTCTACTTAGACCCACCATCATGGGCTCTCTGGAATGTGAAGCACACCCCCCCCCTCAAGACAGCCCAGCCTCCAGCCTGCCAGCCTGCCAATTGATAAGGGACAGAGGCCCCAGGGGTCTTTCCTTATATAGGAGCAGTTCCAGAGGCCACCCCTGTGGGCCCGAAGGAGGAGGTGGCCAGCCTCCCTTCTGTTTGATCGGGGATATATCCTTAGTGAAAAACGTGGGAGAAGCCCTGCACGGGGCAGGCTGGGGCCCGCCTACCGTGACTCGGCAGTGTATTGGGGTTTTAGCCAAGTAACTGGAAGAAAATCTCTCAACATGTGACCATGTTTACAGTCGTAGACTAGGGCAGCCTCAACACCATGTGATCCACAGTGCACCGCCTAGGTAAGGGGTTCTAAGAAACCTTGTCACTGGTGACAAAGCCAGTGAGTCAGGAGGCCCCTGTGGCTTAGCAGGGAGGGAGAAATGTCCCCGCTTTGGGGAGGGAGAGATGCCTCACCAGGCGCCAGCCTGTAGCCTGTCCCGCATTCCTTGGGGATTAAAAGAAAGCACCCATTGTGCCAGGTCAATGCCGGGTCTCTTCCAACCCAAAAGGGGGAGGCACCTCCGGGGCAAGGAGTTGGCTAAGCAAGGCAGGCTGTACCACGTAGGGCACACAGACCCACAGAGCAGCTAAGTCTCTGCTCGCACAGGGGGCTCTTCTAGCTTGAAAGCAAATGGGAAAAGTAACGCAGTCCCTGCCAAGGGCTAGGTCGGGCCCTAGGAGTCCAGGTCCCGAGTGAATCTCTCTCTTGAAAAGCCCCCGGCTTACTCACCCGTTACGTAGATGTCGTTGCCCAGTGCCACGATACTGTAGCCCCCGCCTAAGTGGTCAGGGAACTCGGCCAGGTAGCGCCACTGGCCCGTCTGAGGATTGTAGCAGTCGACCGTGACCAACTCGTCGCAGTCCTGGTCGCAACCTCCCACCAGCACCAGGATCTCGGCTAGGCCGGTGGACGGGCGCGGACGCATGCGGGGGCAGGGCCCGCGGTCGTGCCGGTCGTAGCGCGCCGCCTGGAAGTCGCGGGCCTCTCGCAGCAGGCGCAGGCAAGGCGGGCAGCGCGCCACCAGAGGCTCGGCCTCCCCCAGGGCCAGCAGGGAGAAGAGGGGGACGGAGGGGGGGGGCCCCGCCCCCAA